GTGGTGTCATACAACTCACAGCAACCTCCAACTTTGTCACCCTCGGTAGAGTGCTGTGGTGTCACACAGCTTATAGCAACCTCCAACTCTTGGGCTTAGGCAATTCTCTTGCCTCAGCCTTCCTAGTAGCTGGGACTACAGGCGCCGGCCACAACGCCCGGTTATTATTTTGTTGCAGTTTGGCTGGGGCCAGGTTTGAACCTGCCACCCTCGGTATATGAGTTCACCCTACCCACTGAGCCACAGGCACTGTCTTATGCTGTTTCTTCTTAACAAGAATTTTTATTGATTGAATGATCGATTGATTGATTGACTGAGACTGACTCTCACTCTGTTGCTCAGGCTAGAGTGCCATGGCACATCAGAGCTTACGGCAACCTTAAATTCCTGGGTTCAAGAGATCCTTCTACCTCAGCCTTCCAAGTTGGTGATACGGTATGAACCTGCCACTGCTGATTTTTCTATTTTTAGTAGAGACAGGGTCTTGATCTTGCTTAGGCAGGTCTTGAACTCCTGAGCTCAAGGGAGCCTCCTACCTTGGCCTCCCAGAGTGCTAGGATTACAGGTGTGAGCAGCCATATCCTATGTCTTAACTAGAATTTAAATAAAAATGAAATGACAGTAAAAACAATTAAATAAATCTTGGGTCAAAGGAGATATTTAAAAACCAAATCCAGATGAACTTTCTATTCAGAATTCTGTGTATTAGTATCTGTGGCGTAGGGCTAAAGAAATACTCAGAAAAAACTTCATAGATGTGAGTAAATGAGTAGGGAAAGAATGAAAATAAAAGAATTTTTTTTTTTTTTTATGAGATGGAGTCTCAAGCTGTTGCCCTGGATAGAGTACCCTTGGTGTTACAGCTCACAGCAACCTCATACTCTTGGGCTTAAGTGATTCTCTTGCCTCAGCCTCCCAAGTAGCTGGGACTACAGGTGCCCACCACAATGTCCGGCCAGTTTTTTTGGTTGTAGTTGTCGTTGTTTGGCAGCCTGGGCTGGATTACAGCCCACCAGCTCTGGTGTATGTGGCTGGTGCCCTAGCCGCTTGAGCTACAGGTGCTGAGCCGAAAATAAAAGAATTTGACCCCAAAGGTAGAAAAAAATTAAATGGAAAGAAAGCAGCATTATTAGAGATGGCAAATTATGATAATATGTATTATGTGTATAATATATGTATAATAGTATATTAAAGTATTATTAGTGATAAGGGCAGAAATTGATAAATTAGAATACAGATAAATGGAGGTACTATACATCAAAGACTTTTTCTTGTTTTGTTTTGTAGCTGGTTTTAAAAATACTAAACAAGGTGGCGTCTGGGGCTCAATGGGTAGGGTGCCGGCCACATATATCAAAGCTAGTATTTCAGGTGTTCTGTTTTGCCTGCTACAGTAAGTGAAATGTTTCTCAAAGGAGAATGCGAATTCTCTGCCTTATCACTGGCAGGTGGAATGTAGTAATATAGTAAAAGAATTAACACTTAAGAATAATAACTGCCATTTATTCAGTGCTTCCATGTACCAGGCATGATACTTAGTATGTGGCATGCTTTGTATCATTTGATCCTTAGAGCAACCTGATGATAGTATAACTGCTATTATTGTCCCTGTTTTATAGATGAGATAGCTGAAAGGTTAAATGGTTTGTTCAAGGTAATACAGTAAGCAGCAAGTTTTGTAATTGAATGGCCATGTCTTCTGATACCTCAAGCATTTATGTATGTTGTTATTCACTAGTGAAGAGGAGGGTACTTCTTGACTTTCTCAGTAGTGGGCATCTAAACTGGTCCACTGGCCAATTGATGACTGGGTGTGTAGAACAGCGTGGGCTAGATGAGGGCACTAAGATCCTGACATTATAATGTAGGTTCAGTTTCTGTCTGTTGGTACGTAAATGCTACTGTTGGACCTTTATTGTATAAAGAGGTAGGGAGTGAGTATTATATAATTGTTCCTTGCATTTTCTTCTTTCTTTTTTCCTTTATTTTTATTTTGGAGACATGGTTCTGCTCTGTTGCCTAGGCCAGAGTGCAGTGGCATCATCATAGCTCACTGCAGGCTCAAACTCCTGGGCTCAAGTGATCCTCCAGACTCAACCTCTTAAGTAGCTGGGTCTGTAGGCACCCAGCTAACTTGCTTTTTGAGACAGGGTCTTCCTATGTTGCTCAGACTGGTCTGGAACTCCTGGCCTCAAGTGATTCCCCTGGTCTGAGCCTCTAGAGCAGCATGGATTACAGGCCTGAGATACCATGCCCCATTCTTCAATTGTATTGAATCTCAAAAGACTTAAGCCGTCATTATTGTCCTCATTAGTGTAATTGGAAGCACCGTGTGGTGCACACCCCTGAACTGAATGATGTTAAGTGTGGTCAGGCAACTAGTCTTTGGGCCCAAGAAGTTTATTGAGTTTGAATGGGATAGGTATGGGAGAATGCTAGGGGGAAAATAACATCCTTTAAAGTGGAAATTTGTTCTATTTTGTATTGCATAAAAACAGTTGTTAGAAGTTGCCACATTTTGCTAGCATATCAAAAAATATGGAATTTCTGAGGGAAATTAGTTATTCTGTTGACATTGTAAAGGGATTTGAGTTCTGAAAAGCTGTGCTATTTAAAGGTATTTGTAAAACAATCAGTAAATGTCATTTAATTTTTTTGGGGGGGGAGACTTACTATTTTTTTAATGCCTCTTATGTTCTTATTTAACCTCATTGTTGGCATGTTGTATTATAATGAAGAGTCTATCACATCAATAAGGGTGATATTGTAGTATTTTACTTCCTGCGTAAGCTAGCTTTGCTTATTCCTGTTTGTTAACTAGGCCTTTTGATGTTTTTGTAGACAATCTGCTTCATCTTGATTCTGCAGCATTCCAAACTGTGGTATCCTTGGGGTTCTCTTAACATTGCTATGGTGCAGAAGATTTAAAATCAGGTATGGCTGTGGGACCAGAAGTCCCTCAGTGAAATTCTCAGCTTAAATCTGCCTTATACTCTCTGATTTATCATTTGGGTTTCTTTTTTTGTGGCGGTCTTTTAGCTGATGTTCACAAGGAACAGAGTCACGTGATGTATGAAGGGAAACATATACACTTCTCTGAGGTTGACAATAAGCCCTTGTGCTCATATAGCCCCAAACTCTGCAAGCAACGGCGACTCAACGGCTACGCTTTTTGTATCAGACACGTTCTGGAGGACAAGACTGCCCCCTTCAAGCAATGTGAATATGTGGCCAAGTATAACAGCCAGCGCTGCACCAACCCCATCCCCAAATCAGAGGATCGCAGGTAAGAATGAATTAGGGGAAAGGGCCTTTGATTTAATTAACAGGCTTAGATTTTTCCCTTTTCTTTTTCTTTTTCTTTTCTTTTTTTTTGAGACAGAGCCTCAAGCTGTCGCCCTGGGTAGAGTGCCATGGCATCACAGCTTACAGCAA